CTTGTATAACTTGAGTCTGGTTCGAATTGGGTGGACATCACTCATAAGCCAGGACCTGAGATTGCGGAAGCACCATTTGGCGGCAGTGATCCTACGGGCAGTGGTGTCTGCATCCCATGCCCTGTACCCTATGATGACACCAAGGTACGCTGTTTTCGACACGAGCGGCAGCTGCCAACGTCGTTCGGGCAGATTCCGCACAGGGCCAGAGGTAGGCCGACTGACCCAGTGACGAAGGAAGGCAGGAGCCTCTTTCCCTTGGAGTCGAAGCATGGCTATTGACTTATGAAGGTTGACACTAAGCCCGAAAGCCTGAAGGGTCATCAACACATGTTGGAGGTCGGTGAGCGCTTCAAGGGCTTGGGCTGTCGATCGAATTACCCACCGAAGGTGGATGTCATCTGCGTAGACGACCATGTGCTCATGGAGCCATTTGTGGGAGTTTTTGGTCTGAAGATCAACTAGTACGAGGCTCATGGTGAGTGTCCACAGTAAGGGGGCATCTTTGGTCCCCTGTTTGATTCCCCTATATGCCTGGATTTGCCCGATCAATTGTTTGAAGGGAATACAATACTTGTGGGGGGTGAGCCACGAATGCACAAGTTGAAAGAGGTTAGAGTCCAAATGGTACAACTTCAAGGCTCTAAGCACTAAGGTTCGACTGACCGTGTCAAAAGCCTTTTCCATATCTAATGAAACCTGGAGGCCTCCAAGCAGCTTAGGCTGAGTACTAGTCTTGACATCCTTGCACATCATGCGTACACTTCTACAATGTTCAGCTACTATGAGAAGACATTCACGTGTTCCTCTTTGAGGCAAATACGCATAGAGTGGAAGACATCTAAGTCTGTCGAATGTCTGCAGAACTATTTGCCTGCATTGGATTCCGGCAAATATCTTGTTGACCGGGTGTTGAAGGCAGATCGGTCTGAGTGCCTGGGGTTTGCTTGGAGGTTTATTGGGTTTAGTGAGGAGGTGGATCCATCCTGTTGTCCAATGATCCGGAAGGGTTACGGGATATCGAAGCCAAACCTGCTGAATCTGATGCATTAATGGATCAACAAGATCATGCGCGAAATGCTTCCAGATTAGAGCTGGCAATCCGTTTGGTGCCAGGGCTTTAGTACTTGGCAGGTGCAACAGCTCAGTGAGCACATCCTGGCGGTCGAAGGGAAGTCGAGTAAGGGGTTCGAGATCCTGGGCATCAAACTTCGGATTAGCAAACAATTGGGTGTAATACCTTTCAATGGATTCCAACTCCTGTCTTGGTGCTAATGGCATGCCATGAGGATCAAAGAGTTGGATTCGTTTCGGTCTTTGTTTCGGACACAGGAGCCTGATCTTCCTGTACCAGTCAAAAATGCGTCCATGAGGATCGTGTGCAATTTATTCCTCTTATTCTGTCGATTCTGTTTACGAATGGCTTTGTGGAGGGTTCTGAAGATGGTGATATGAGCCCAACACTCAAAGAGATCGCGAATGGTGCGTCCTCGAACAGCTAGAGCCTTTTTGCGGGCATTCCACATCCTGGCAGCCATGGAGGGGATATGCGGTGCATGAGGGACCCGTGGTTTCCGTTTGGGAAAGAAACGAAAACAGATAGTTCTAAGTTCCTGTTCCAAAGCGTGCATGGAGACCTCATGCGGTTGGTGAGGTGGAGAGTGTCTGGCAATGCACTGACGAATCTGAACCTCGAATTGCTGCCAGTGATCAGTGTGCTCGAGTCTAGCCGTACGAATGGCAAATCTATCAATGTTATTTAATGGGAGCACTGGTTTCCGAGGCGCAAACCACCTGGGCAGGATAAAGAATAATGGATGATGATGAGGTCCATGACAACCAAAGTTGCGCATAAAGCTCCTATCCATGGTGGGTTGCATGCGGCGAAATTGAGCCTAATGTTGTCGAACAAAAACATAATAATACGGGAATGATGTGAACCATGTTCGAAGGTTGCTGCATAATGCTGTTTACAATGCAAGGCAATCAGGTCTTGTGCTCTCGTCAATTGCTGAAGAAGGTCACGATCAGTGTGAGTGCACATGGATGCACGGGCATCATGGCTATTAATGTGCGGCGGATCGAACTTGAGGGTGGTGTTGAAATCACCCATCAAAACCATCTGGTGCTGCTTTAAAAATTGTTGCAAGCTAATCCAAATCTTGGCACGATGCTCAAGGAGCTGCTCACGGCCTTTGGTAGTATTCCAGGCGTATTGATACCCAACGATGAAGTTATATGTGCAGTCCAAAAAGAGACGGGTCTGAAGGAGTCGGCCATCAGAATGAGAGGCCGTAGCAATCTGTTCCGGTCTGGCCAAGGTGCAGCGTATGAGCACCAAAATGGCTGTATATTTCGTCGAGGAATGGATACAATGCCATCCCTAGGACGTCCAGGTGGAGTTGAAATTCCATCCAATTTCCTGTAATGCTATTATGTCCAGAGGTTGAGAATTGCACCAATGCAATTGCACCAATGCAACAGCTCGTCATGCACCAAGTTTTTCGAAGCATTCCAAGTCATGCATCGAATGCCAGGAGTCGTTTATGGTGTCCGCTGCTTCAGCTTCTCTTGCGAGAGGTGTCTATAGGCTTCACGAAGGCGCCAAGGCACATCTACGACAAAAAGGTAACCTTTACGATAAAGCGTGTAGCCATGTTGCAAGGCACGGAAGCAAGCTCGCCTATATGATCTCTTGATCAAAACAATGCGCGGCCGAGAGACGACAAGGCCGTAGCCTCCTAAGGCCCAAACCTCTAAAGGCTTTGTGGAGAAGCTCTACTATGGAGTGAAGGATAGGCCTCCATTCTCATCCGGGAGTAAAGAATCCCGGATAACCCTCACGCCACCCATGGTGCCTTTCGGTATAAATGGCGCTGCATTAACATCCATAGGCCCTAGACTTAGGATCAAAGAAATCAACCTCAATCCTAACAGAAAAAAGTGCAACCAAAACAAAATAATCATCAATGGTCAAAAAGTCCAGAACACAAGGCAAAAAAATGGCATCAAAATCTACAAAGAATTAATTACCATAATTCGAGGCTAAAATGGCATTTTAAATTTATATAATATAAATCGAATTTCTATATATTTAAAATATATTTCTATATATAATAATATATTAAATATCAAATAAAAATAATATCAAAATTATCCAATATAAAATGATATATTCTATTAAAAATCGATAACAATAAATAATAATAAACAAAATATTTAAAAATTAAAAAAAAAACGAAAAAAATATAAAACAAAAAAATGAATATAAAAATTAATATTGTAATATATTATTTTATATTACGAACGCAAAATACTATTAATAAAATCAATCGAATATTTAAAAGAAAATCGATTTTCATATTATCTTTTCTAAATATTTAATATCCTTTTTTATAAAAACGAAAAAAAAATCGAATAAATTCTTTCAATTCATTTTCCAAGAAAAAAAAAGACCGTCCCCCCTAAACGTTTCAATTTGTAATTAAAATATCAATTAATAACTATATTAAAAATTAATTTAAAAAAAAAGGTTCGGTTAATCCCTCCCATTAAACCTTTCAATTTTAAACCTCACCATATTTCATAAACAACAATTTCCGCTAAACTCCTTCTAACTCGCTTTCGTAATTAATATTAAATTAAGAAATTCAATATATATATATATATTATATTCTTTTCAAAAACCAATCGGATCCAATCGGCGAAAAAGTAAAACATCAAATTAATGTACGATCTTGAAGAAATTTTGGCATTTATCGATTTGAACATCATACATATTCATAGTCGCGAGAATAATATTGTATTTATCATCGTCCTTTCGATTTATGTTCAATTCTTGCTGCTTTGTATGTCGCCAAGACCTTGCAAATATGGCAAATGAATTCTTTTGAATTGAATATATAAATTAGAATTGGTCTAAGTCTATCACATGATCGCAAACTGAAGAGATGTTCTTCAGGGCGCGCTCTACAGCTGCCTAGGCCCAGACAATGATACAGTGTGGTAGAAACCGACGCAAAAGAATTGTGTATTTTTCATTTTCGAAGGCCACCGAGACACATCTGCCGGCGTTCCATGAGTCTGCACTCGAACGTTCATTTTCGGCTCAGAAGGATGAGGCACCTCCCATGCAAAAACAACTTTGTCCAACGAAACCGACTAGTTTCAGTAGAGCATGACAGGTCAGCGTGCTTCAACACTTTTTTGTGAGCTGGGCCGAGCACGGTGTAGCCAGCAAATTCAACATTTGGATCCTTCATGAGCATGTAGCGAAGAGAATTTCCCAGTGTGTGATCCTCTCCTGTGAATTGAAACCTTGGCAGCCAAGCAAAGTGTGGTGAAGATTGTACTAATGGCGCAACCATGATTTCACTGCAAAGCTGAATAGCTTCAATGCCCAGGAACGTTATGTTGCTGTCGTCTGCCTTTTCCCCCATAGCTGACTTGATGGTGCTTCACGCTGAAACTCTGTCCTTTCGATGCAGGTGTATTTCGAGTAGTAACAGGCCTGTCTTCTGCTCTGCACTTCATGTTGGTGTAAGTAGTCACATGTGTCTGATTGGAACATTTACCTCGCTGCTTCTTGACAGTACCGCATTCCCAATCACAGCTGCAAAGTAACAAAGCTTGTCAAAAAGACTGACTCTTGCAGAATGCATGACCTTCCCGACAGGCTGTCCATTGCTGCGCGCAACCTTTTTGCTTCTCCCAGCTCCCACGCACACGGCGACCCCTTCCAGTCAGCCGCTCCACACGCTCCCGCTCCGCGCCCTCACAAGTAGTCCGCCACATAAGAGGAGTATTCTGTAGGACCCTGCCAGTCGACTAGTGAAAGTCTTTTTGCTTTGTTCTCTGCTCTTCGCACTTTTGTCACACCTTCATGGCACTCATTCAGCATGGAATTGTTTCAATTGCCACTCATTTTGAGATGGACTCCTTCATCCATGGTCCCATAGTAGATACATCAAGCAATGTTCGAAGAATACAAAACACACTCATTACATCAACTCCTGCCTCTGGCATGGGCGTCCTAATGCGGAGTTGTCAAGAGTAATCACAATCTTCAGCAAAGTGTTAAGGTGAAAGCCCTGACCATGCAGAAAAAAAGATTGCAAACATGTGAATGATGTTTTGTTCCTGCCAGTGCGTCGCGCAATAGCTCGTGCCAGCACTTCCATTCGCCCTGGCCCAACTCGCCACAATTCGCCTGCAATGGGAGAACAAATGTCGTTGTCGTTGTTGTCGTCGTCGTCGTCGTTGTTGTTGTTTTTGTGGGGGTAAGCCGCTAGTAGAGGTGAGGAGGTAGGTTGGCTAGGTAGCTAGTAGAAGAGGTAACTAGCAGCTAACAAGTAGCTACTAGTATGGACGCAGGATAGCTCACGCTTCTTCAAGGTGAGGGTGGGGTCCTTGAAGAAGAAGTGCTCACACTATTCATTTGGTGACTAGATTTTTCGGGAAACTTAAGTTCATGTCCGCTGTACTAAGGAATGGGGTCATGAAGTACTCATGTCGATGCATCACTGCTATGCATAGTGCGGAAGAGTGTGTTGTTGAATCACAGGCACGAGCCCTTCAATGCGCGCCTAAAAGCTTCCGATCTTGTAGGATGGCCAAGGGCAACTCCTAAAAACTTGTACTTCGACTTCACTGATTATATCATCTACTGTTCCAATGTAGATTCCCCATTTGGACTTCTCTATGCTCGACTGCTGTCCTCGGAGGCTGTCAAGGATTTGCCCTCAGCCTCACTGTCCTGACCATGTAGGTCTTACATGCAATAAGATTTTCTTTAGATGACCACGCTATTTGCACTATGCTTTATCCAGGTCCATCACGCACAACTCTCGTCTGGCACGAGCGCATGCTGGATATTGATGTTTTTGTGGTCTCGCAGAGCTCAGCTGCACTTTTTGTGAGACGCTTCGTGGAGTTCTTGGCATTGCAAATTTCTTGTCACAAGCTTCAGCACCACATGGCTGTTTGAAGAGTGGATCTTCTTCCTGGCGTGATCAAAATGGTGCCCGCCGGCTCTCCAATGGGAAGGAGCATAACTCGCTGAAAAAAGGATCTACAATCATGTCCTGGACAGTCAATCAATGCTGTCAAGGATCGGGTGGCACTGGCTGCTCCATCAACAAGATGGTGCAGCTATGATCCTTGAAGTTTGGCATCATGCCTGAGATCTCATGGTTCACATGTACTATCCCCAACCTTCAGAATCGTCGCTCAAGCTGGAGCATTGGCCAACTGCAGTCGGGTGTCGCACAGGAAAATCCAATTCTGTTGTCATGTATTCTTCGGTGCCAGCTTTGCAAACGTTCAGGCAAAGATCTTTGCACCCACCGCATTCTTCAATGAATTTGCACCTGCAAAAGCTTCGATGGAGGTTGGAATCGTGAAAAATTCAGTGAAGTCTACAACGTCTGCAATTCCATGATGGTCTGGGTTCTGTGAAATGTGCATATTTCAACTTTCTTGCTTTGCAATACCGCGCTTTTGAAGAAGCATAACAGCATCAGGTGCCACATCTATTCCGTCTTGCCGTAGCTTCTGCACCAGAGTCTGCTCCTCAAATAGAACAAAGCAAAAAAATAGACATTCGGAGATTTGATTAGCTTCTCATTTGGTCGCACTGAGTCCTCCTCCTTTGACAAAATACGGGACTTGCCAACGAGCCAATGGGAAGTCGCAGCCCCTATTGTAGCAGAACCAAACCTGACCAAGTCTAAACGAACTGATCTTCACAAGCAGTTTGGATATCCGAAATGTGTTGACCAGAAAATATACACAGTAGCTGTGGCCTGATTGCGCGTTTGTGAAGATCGGGCCAAGTCTTGAGCCAGTTCAGGATTGCGCGGAAGAGCCGAGCTAAAGGCTTTGGAACCTCAATGGCCCAATGGCCACATAGAAACGCATCATCTCGATTTCACTTCATTCAGTTTTCAGAAACACAACGAAACGTTTTTAGTCACAAGAGCAATAGAGATTCTGAAACATGACCTGAGGGGACGGATGTTTGTTCCAAGAAAATCAAGCTGAACAAGGATGCTTCTAGGGGCTCCTGGCATCGCTACTAGGAACAATATCTAAGAAAGCTCAAAACGCACAAGGCTCAGGCCGTCTGAATGCACTAAGGCTCAGGCCGTCTGCCGCAGGAGGTGAGCTCCAAAGGAGCGCTGTCTTGGAACCTCCCAGCTGGTCACCACCTTGGAGTGCTCAATGAACCTGGCGAGGGAGGTCCCAAAGCCTGTGGGAAAACCACACAAAAATCAACATGGAGGTCATATCGCAAGGTGTTTGGTCATTCCCAACACTGTTGAAGCAAACTTACAAAAACACACTTGCACTCGGCACTTTTCCTGGTTGACATGTCTCACGAATTCTGTCAAGTGTCGCAGGCAGGCCAGAAGATGTGGAGGTTTCCTTCTCGGTGATTTTCTCCATCTTGGAAATGATCCAACCAGGCAAAAGCAGCTCCACCTTGTGTAAGGAAGCGAAACAAGCCAAGTCACTTGTCTCTAAATCAATGAACGCTGTATTCTCTTGGAATGCTGGACTCTCGGCACATCCAAATCCAAGGCGCAAGGTTTGCAACGAATTCAAGGCTACCTCGAGGCTGCCAAAGACTGTTGTCGTGCTCCTCTTCGTTGAAAAAATGATTTTATTTTTTCCAAACATCACAAATGCCTTAAGTTTAGATACATGTGTTTGTCCACGTGCTCCGTTGCAGGTCCTCTGTGCACTTCGTTTCCTTCTTCGCAGTGGAAAGTCCTCAAGGTTTGTCAGCACAATGTGTACCACTGAGACAAGTGTGGATTTGTTTGAATCTTTGGCTGCCATGCATCTTCCATTGCACCCACTTTTACCTGAGATACTCTGAACCAGCATGAAGGTCGCTTCTGCATGACATGTACCACGTTTTATAGCTCTGCAGCCGTGCTGTGACTTGATCCACAGTCGAGCCTTGACTACCCTTGAGCCACCCTTGAACCCATCTTCTCATTCTGTCGAGGCACAACAAGCCTCTGTGGCACAGGTGGTGGACTCTACGCAGCGTGGAGGACCACATCGCAGCGTCCTTCTTGTCCTTCTGTTTGTTTGGCGGTTGTAGCCGCTTCTGAAGGACTGGGCAAAGTGAACCACAATTGCAGTGCCCACTGCACTGACGATCGGAGCACCCAGCAAGGAAGAACAGCTGAACGTGGAAGCTGAGGGCACTAAAGGTTGCCCATCATGCCGACACGCCAGGGGCATTGAGGACGCGGAGTGACGCAGCATCTATTTGACAGAAAACAAAACTAAAAGAAGTCAACAGGGAAGTTGCCTGGACAAAGAAAGGCGAAAGGGCTGCGATGTCACTCCAGCTGCTAAGTCAGCAGCCCATCACCGTGCACTTGTGCAATTGCACAGACCAGCACAGGAAAACTCAACGCCGCGAAAATTGCTTGAGAAAAAACAGTGACGGATTTATCAATAGTTACGGTGCTTCCAAAAAGATTGAACATACCTGATATCGGACAATACACAGGGGTTTCGAGCCAATCCATGTTTTTGAAGCCTTGGAGGCCATCTCGTGAACAACAGAGAATGCAGAACCACTGAATACCTGCTATTCCGCTATTCAATTCTTGTGTCAATCCTTGTGTCATCAATACAACCTTCCTCCCGCAAGAAAGCCCCAGAAAACCGCGCCTGGTGGCATCTCGCTGCCAAGGCGGACTGAAGTCTAGTCACGTCTCCATGAGTATTGGCTTCTTTGGCAAAAACGACCGCCGGAATCTGCGAAGTCAAAAGCAAACTAATTTCATCCAACTTGCCTTCCAGCACATGCACTGGAGTCCTTCGCAGGCTTCGATGCTGAGTAATGGCCAAATGCAACTGTGCATCGTAGACGTCAGCCAAATCTTCCAACTCTGCAGCCTTTTCAACCAAGGCTTGGGCAAATTCCAGAACTTTGAGCCACTGAACTTGAAGTTGGCTGCCTTCTGCTTTGAAGAGAGAAAGAGGTTGCCCCCAAGCTGCTGTGATCGCGGAATGAGCTGCACATGCCGAAATACAAGCTTCACCTAGGTTCTTGCGCAAACGCTCCAGCTCCTCCTCATCATCCACAAGTTCGGAGTCATCTTCTTTCTGCTGCTTGTAACCGACAAGTGCGGCTCCTGCAGAGAGGAGTCCTGCAAAGGTCGCTCCACCATCCATAAAAAACTCCAGTCCCGACATCTTGGCAGATTCATCTCAATATGCCCCTCAGCTCGTCTCGGAGACTTCAGAACAGCTCCATGTATTGAAGTCTGGCACGGCCATGTGGTGCAGCCCTGCAGTGCTGCATTCCTCTTGGTAGTTTATTCATGTATGAAAACAAATACAATGTCAATATAGCTGCTAAGAAGGTGAAAGCTGAAAATGATTGCAAGTGTTCTAGATATATATAGATTAGATTAGATTAGATTAGATTAGATTAGATTAGACTAGGCTAGGCTAGGCTAGGCTAGCATAGACTAGACTAGACTAGACTAGACTAGATAGATAGATAGATAGATAGATAGTTCGCAAAGACCATACATTTGGAACCCTCTTGGAATACTGACACCGGTGCTCATGTCATGGCTATGGCTGAGAGATCGGAGTCTGCCTGGAGTGCTGTCTCCCTCATAGGGATGCCCTTTGCTCCTAGTAGCTTCTTGCTCCTAGTAGAAAGGCCAGGAGCCCCTAGTAGCGTCCTTGCTCCTAGTAGCGATGCCCTTTGCTCCTAGTAGCGTCCTCTCCCTCAACAACTCCTTTCTTTCTGAAGTCCAGAGCTGCTTTGGCTCATGGGTGAAAACAAAGGGACAGCCACGATGAGTAAGACACTTGCCTGACTCTTCATTCCTGAAATTGCTTGGCTGAACAAAATGTCCTCTACCAATTCACCAAAAGAAGTGGCATAACACAGTGGCAAGTCGAATCGGCCACCACGCTCAAGTCTCACTTTCGTATCCACACCTGCAAAATGTCGTTGAAATCACAACACAACCATAACACAACAGCCAGGGCATTAAGGAGATTCTTGACTTTCGTTGCCTCACCGTCTTCCCATACGATCTCAGAGTCTTTCAGCCTCAATCAGATCTCATTGCCATTGCGGACGGGAAGCTCTCTGATCTCCCGTAACCTGTTGCATAAATAGAAACCAGTTTGAGGGCTCAAAATGAACAAACAATCTCTCTTGACATGCCCGGACCTTCCCAGGATCTACTTGGCAGGTTGACTGCACTGATATGGAAAATCCACTATGTATACAGTCCCGGCTTAGCCACCAACGATGCTCTTCCGAGATGTTCTTCTCCACCAAGACTCATTTTGATCTGGTCTCCAGACACCTCATGCGAGTGGAAAAAATACGGACGGTCTTTCACCTCACATCGGTCAGGCGCACCGAGAAAAAGAAAGGAAGCGCCTCCCACAATGGACTCGGCTTGTGTTTGTATGCAGCTTCCCAAACCATACTATTGCCGGAGATGATGCCCAAAGACATGCGATCCTCCTGCGAAACATGAAACACGCAGCGTTTCAAACGCGATCCTTTCGCGGCATTCCCTCCACAGTCCTTTCGGGTCCAGTGGCCTTTCAATCCTTCCAAAAGGCCTCGCCTGATGTAGAACGCTTTCATCTATATAGAAAGGCAAGAAACTCCAAGAGTCTCTGCTCAACGGAACCCACTGGGCAACTGACGCTGGTTCCTAGGCAAAATCTGGAAATGGAGTGTTTACTTTAGATTTTACGCTGTCTAAGACCAAGTGCAAGGCTCCATCAAATGCTGCTGATTCCCTCTCATCCAGGTCAATTTTGGATGATGTCCTGGACATAAACACAAAACAAAAAGCTACAGCAAATGAGCATTTCAACCAAAATTTGCTCCCTGCGGTCTCGGAAGGGTCTTCCACGCAACCTCGAAATGGATTGCGCGTGCACAATCAAAAAGGACAAAACTGATCGCATTGAAGAATGCTGAAGGTGCCACACACAGTGCCCATGATGAGAACCCACACCTAGCAGTCCAGAAAACAATTCAAGGAGATCAACGATCCAAGACTCCTTAGTTTAATTATCCAGATGGTTTTTGACGATGTCTGAAAGCTTCTGAGGCAAGCACTGGTCACGGGCCCCTCTTGACAAATTCAAACTACCAAACTCGATCCAAAAAGGCACGCACATCAAACATGACGCGTGTCCGTGCGTGTGCGTGCTCTGTTTGCATTTGGTGCTGAACCTACACATGTCAATTCTGTCTTCAATACGTATGCCTTTCTCTCTCTCTCTCTCTCTCGCGGTCTCTCTCTCTCTCTCTCTAAAGGAACGCTATTAGGTGGAGGCCATCGCTTTTAGGTGGAGGCCATCGCTAGAAGTTTACTTTACTCACTTTTACAATTGAATCCACAAATTATTGGGAAGGTAAGGGATAGCCCAACTTATTCTATCTACCGGGAGGAAGTAGAAGTGGTATGCTAAATCCCTAGCGGCACGGTCGACGGGAACAAGAACCCTACGATTGGAGGGACGAGTACCCGTGGTGGACAGTGCCGAATTGCCGGACGAACGAAAGCACGACGGCGAACGAACGAACGGAGATGCGAAGGCAGCGAAAGTGCGCGAAGGGTGCGGAAGCACAAGCAACGAAAGGGAACACCAACCACAGGTTGGCAGACCCGGCACCCTGAAGAAAAGCAAGCGGGCGCTCACTTTTCTTGAGCCAAGAGCAACGGTTGCAGCATGTGTTTTACATGCCTTAGTGAACCGTAGCTAAATAGATAGACATGTACAAGTAGTGAATAGCTGTTACATAGTAGGGGTTCACAGAAAATGACTTTTACGCGTTCAAAGGAGTTTGTTGCAAGTTCAAACTGTTCTGGTTTAGACGGCATGCTGATTTACACTGCGCCGTCAAGGTGAAAATGCCAACAGGTACACACTCCATTTGGGTTTGACTAAGTGCACAGCAATCCGGTCAACTGCACAATGCTAGCAAGTAGCTATATAAGTAGTTTGTGCGGTTTGAGGCATGAAATGTTGAGACAGTTGAGACAAAAAACCGAATTTAAATACGATGTACAGTAAACAAAGAACGAAACATTTGACTCAAATGCCCAGCCTGAACTCTCTTTTGGTCATTGTTGACAAAATCTAAACCCCAAACAAATCCATGTGTGTTTCCAAAACAGGCTTGGCCCCACACATCTAGCTTCCCCACATTCAGCAGTACGACGTCGGAACCCCAACTTTTTGACGAACACTTGTCTGTATGTACAAATGACTGGAATCACGGCATTTCCTTTACTAAAACCTGCAGAAACATTGACAAAAAGTTAAGGTTCGGGAAGAAAATAATCAACACTTGAGAAAGGTAGGTGGATGAATGGCCGGCTAGAGCTGGATGAGAGTTTTCCAGTTCTTGCAGCTAATGACGATGATTGCAATGGAGCTGAAACTCCAGGCCATTGGTCTTGGAGTGTTGATAGTGAGTCCTTAACGCATGTCTGCTGTCCAAGACATGCGGGCATCTGGCAAAAGTTGCAAGCTGCTGGCCACTCAATGCCAATCATTTTGATACTGCTGCTGCTGCGGTTGTTTGTCATTCACGTCGTGGCTTACTGTATGTAAAGCGTGACTTTGGTCCTTGAATAGATTTTAAGTCTTGTGTTCATTGCTGGCTTTCTGGCGGTTGGGGGCATGTCGGCTGGTCACAACTACGATTTGCTTTTCCATGTCGATTCCGGCATGGGGTTTCCCGGTGTGCCCTACAGCTAAACAAGAAAGAACTGGACGACGGTTGGCCCGAGAGCGAGACATGTAATTGTCCAGCACTGTCGAGAAGATGTATAGAAAGAGAGAAAGAGAGGGTGGATGTGAAGGAGTGACAGTGTGGATGCGCAGGTGCGATATAGATCTGTAGATGTATAGAGGTGGAGAGGTAGATCCGTGGATGTGAGCGTGCGAAGATGTAAATGCACAGAGACGAGAGAAAAGATATGTAGAAAGAAAGAAAGAAAAAAAGAAAGACAGGACAGATGTGAAGGAGCGACAGTGTGGATGTACAGATTACAGATGTGATATAGATGTGCAGATGTGTGGGTGTGGTGAGGTGGAGAGGTAGATCTGCGGATGTGAGCATGTGAAGATGTAAATGTAGAGAGGTGAGGGGGCGTAGACGTAGATGCGTCGATGCAACGGCAGCGCAACGTCAACCTTAGTTGTGCAAGTACAACGCTGAAGAGGTTCAATTAGAACTGAAGAACGTACATGTCACACTGAAGTTTCCACGAACAGGGCGACCTGAGAGTAAACGACGTCACGACCATGACAAGCGACTCGTGTATTCCAAGCGAACATCCTTTGTCATGAAGGTGAAGTACACACATACTGAATTTACAGGCCAACAGCCTACAAGTACCAACATGTAGAGGGCCCTTTTCTTGAGCCAAACACAGAGGTCAATGTGGTATGTACAAGTGTACTATCGTGCAAATACACGCTGAACGCACTTGTCAGCAAGGTAGTGAAGAACTATATACACGACTATGTACATGGGACAACGTGCATACCTTTCTGACCTCCGGTTCCCCGGTGTTTCCCTCATGCTTAACACCGTACGCGCCTATGGCTTTCATAGATTCTTTGCCGACCTGAGGCGCAAGGGAACGACGATTAACTCAACTAAGCTACTAAGTCAACTGCCGAACGGACGATTGAAGATCGGACGCAGCGCTTTTCACATGCATCCACAGCTCGTCAAATTGGAAATGGGCCTTCTACGTAGGCACACGTTTCCACGTGGCATGCTGAGTGATGCTTCCTTTCAGGAAGATTGCACTTCGGCAAAACGAATTTGAGCCTCGCAAAGAATGCGGACAGCCTCAAAGAAGGTAAGCGTGAGGCTACTGCTTCCGCAGAGCGCGCAAAGGCTTTTGAGAGCATCTCGACACCAAATGAGGTAATGCGCGACCACAAGCATTGGATGAGAAGAATTGCACAACTGCCGTATGGCATCGGCTCCCGCCGTGCATTGGTGGAGATCATCGTCCTCGACGCCACCAATCCGCTCCGTAGTTGTCTTGGTACCATGTCCAACCTGCGTAATGCCAACCTGGAATGGCGCCAACGTCATCATCGAGGTCCCTCCAATCACGGGCCCATCGATTTCTGGGGTAAGGTGCGTTCTCACGAGCCGGTCGGCCTCCGTGACG